CAGAAACCCATATCTATTGCTGTGAGTTATTGTACTCAATTTTCCCATACATTAGTTGAGTGCTTATTGTAAATTCTCCTATCCACTCATTATTCAGAATGACTCCCAAGTCCTTTCAGTGAATAATATTCCAAACTATAGGTTATTAGAACGATGAATTGCAAATATTTATAATGAATTACACAATTTGTGCTGCAACCAGAGAAGCAAACCTTTGTATATGACACGTGAGTTGCACTCTCAGCCACTGAAAAATGAAAAGGGCATGAATTTCCGATTGCAGCCACACCTGCAGACTTCAATTCACTGTTTGCATGTGTCCTGCCTGAATTTTGCAATTGATGATACACTCCAGCATTGAAATAGGGGAATATCCTGGGGGAAAAAAACCTACACTTGCAGAATGCAAATTCCAGAAACAAGAAAATCAAAATTCTTTTTCAAAGCTAAATGACTATTTAATTCCAATATCCTTCCCCACTGTACACATAGATCCAGTTCGAACTAAATCTGGTCTCATGGCTGTTCATGACATCTTCAAGACATGCTTTGCGCCACGTCTCACCCAGCCCAGGCAATGGCTGTCTCTCACACCAGCTGATGGAGAGATCAAGAACAAAATGGATGTTTGAAAACTCTCACCCCACCTTCTCGTTCATGATTTAGGCAGAGAGTGGGGTGGTTGCCAGGCGATTAGGAAAGCTCATATCTCCCTTGTACGACGGTTAAACATCTGAGCTACTGTGCAGGCTGCTCCCTCACCCCATGGGCATTGTGGCTGCATCTGGCCTCAGGTATGTTGTCAAAATGTCTCTCCCTGCCTGGGTCATCCAGAGGACCACAGTCTTCACAGATCACTTGAAAAATAAATTAAAGAAAGACTGAGAACTGTCTCCCCACCAGTCTCTCAGCCTGTGTGTGGTGAGGGAGTCTGCTTCTTCTCACTGCCGTGTTTTATCGCACTCTCTTCCTTCCTCTTCTTTTTTTCCCATTCTTAATATAAATGTGAAAAATCCCCAAATGGGAATGTCAGAACATTTTGACACTACAGTTATCAGAAGAGAAAAAGAATAAATTACTTTTTTCCCTGGAAGACAGTCTTACAAGTCAGACACATGCTAGACCAAAAGCCTGAATTTCATCTTCAGTAATGACAAACATATTCTTTGCATTTGCAAATGCACCAATGACTTGATTGTAAGCAAAAAATAGAGCAGTTCTGATGGTTAGAGCTGGAGGAAAGTTCAGATCTTCTCAAGACTGGAAATAGACTTGCATTAGAAAGCCCAGTCCTACTGTCTGAAACACTCCTATTCCCTTTGAAGCTAAATAAGTCATAACAGTTTCATACAAACTTGCAGTTCTCTGCGGTTTTTGGAGGAGGAACTCTGCCCTAGATTCAGCACAAGGTGCTGAATTCTGTTCTTCTCTTCCTTCTGGTTCTATTCTTCTCTTTACTGCTCACCCTGCCAAATACAAAAAGCAGCCATGATGCCCCCCCCCTTGCACAAAATCCTCATTTGCAGAAGTTCTTGGAAGAAGAAGGAAGTTCCAGGAAGAAACAACTCTCCAGCTGGAAAAGAAGTGTGTGGACCAGGCCCAGCCCCTGAGCAGCTTCTCAGTTGACTTACTGGGAAGTCAACCCATACAGGAAGATTTCAGTGTTTCAGTACACTGGGCACAAACCCTTGTACTTCCAAGCTAGTAAAGAAAATATACATTATAACGTGAGAGAATCTGCCTCACTGACTTTCTGTCCCATCCTTGCTGAGTTCAACCTGCTTTGTGCTTAAGAAAGAAGCACTGAAGAAATAAAAATTCTTTAGGTGACATTAACTGTCCAAAGACTACAGTTAGTCAGTTTTCCTTTAAACTCCAAACCTTTAGCAACATCAGTGCATAATTTGCACCAGGGAAATATATCATGCTTCTCTCATCAAATACACAACTGAATGCAAAAAGAAAATAATTGCAGATGATGCAAATGATGTCCAGAGCTGCATTCCTTAGCAGCTCCTCTCTGGCAACCAGAGAGGAGGAGAAGCCTGCAATGGGAAATGAATGCCTAATTTTTGTTCTACAGAACTGGAGTGATATGAAAAGGTAGGAGATTTGATTTGACTTTGTAATATGTTGAAGAGAGGCAACCCACTCTCATGCACAAGGGAACTCAAAAGCTAGAAGTGGACAAGAGGTCCTGCACAGGTTCAGTTCTTATGGGGCCTCTTATAATGTTTGTCACATCTAAATTGACAGGCTTACAGGGACACAGGGGAACGGAACAGACAGTCCTCAGACTTGCTACTTATTTCTGTGGAGGACTCATATGTGGGAGCAGAGTGGAACAAGTGGAAGAGAGGAACCGGAAATGAGAAAAGCCTGATCTCAGCTACATGACAGGATCCACCCTTTAGTGTAGCCCACTGGAGCCTCCTCAGCTGGCCGGGGCAGCTGAGATCGTGGCCACGTCTAGCTCTGGGGGAGAGACAACTCTTTGCATTTGATTTGGCCACAGGGAGACCAATATGTTTAAAAAGAGTTTCAAACTGAAGAGTTTGTCTGCTGCCAGGATGCTCAGAAGATAATCAAGGGACCACCGGCAGCTGAGGTATGCAAAGCTTCCTTGGCCGCTTGCTCTAGAGCACGTCTCCATTGCCCTACGTTCCCAAGGTCATGCTCACTGAGCCTGCAAATCTCACACGGCATGGGTAGGACCATGAGGTCTCACTGGCTTAGGCTCACAGCGAGATAGCCTGGTGCTTATCTCTCCAGCACAGCACCGCGAGATAACGCGGACACAAGGAGGCACCAGCATCACCACCTGCAGCACTTCGAGGTCAAACATGCACTGCAGCAATTCACCTTCTGCACTAACACACTCTCTCCCTTCTGAATCTCAAATCCTCCCCTAAGGGCACCCTGTAGACTTGTAAGCTTAATAAAAAGTGTCTTGTTTCTGTACTTACTCTCTCAAAAAGACAGCACTCTCCCTTTCTTCCTGATTAGGTCCTGGGCTGGCCTCGTACACCCGTTGGCCAGCCTCAGGATCGAACAGTCTTGAAAACATTGAGCCTCCCAGGGTGAGCCACCAACAAGAGCGCAGCCCTTCCCCTCCTCCTGCCCTCGCAGTGACGCACCGACAGTGCCTCCCCTCACCAGCGAGAGTTGTTGGCTCGCTCTCTGCGGGCTGGAGAGCTGCTTCAGAAAATGCGGTGCCAGGGACAGCACGGCTGCTCTCTAAATCCTCCTAACTGGAGTGGAGAAGCATTTGCCTTGTCCCTGGAAACATGGCTCCGATATAAATACAGGCTCAGAGCAGAACCGTGCCACGCATCCATAACAGATTGAGGGCACTGGGACCGTAGCCCCAAACACAGCTTCTAATCAGCAGAAGATATATATGCTGTAATGTTCTTCATGGCTTAAAAAACTTGAAAGGTCTGCGTTGGTGTTGTGACATGCCCTGTCCTCTCTTCCATGTGTTACATGGCCCAGGACTACTGCAAAGCCAGAACAGAAAGGAGCCTGGGTCACCAGCAGACCCAGCCCAGCTGGGAAGTGGTCAGCACTTGATCTATCCTTCAGAGCCAGAGTCAACTCTGAACACAAATCTGGTTGCCAAGTTCTTATTTGTACGTGAAGAGCCATGAATCTATTTATGAAAAGAAGCGAATCTCTTCTAGACAGTTATGTAGAAATATACCTGTGTTTTTTTTCAGAGAATGCCGTTTGTTTTGATAATACAGGGGATAATTGTTCTTCCCTCCCTTCCCCAGATGCTGTGCCACCCACCTCTCCGCTCTGCGGGGAAGCAGACAGGAGAGGGTGTCTTGTACAGCAGAGCTCTCCCAGCTCCTCTGCTTGCATCCCTGGTCACCCAGCAGTGCATGGCCTATATGTACTCTCCTCTTGCAATAACCCATGTCATAACAAACGAAGGGTCAGCATATATTTGTGCATTGGGGTGGGGGGGGAAGGGGTTCAAATTCCCTGTACCCAAAACTGCCAATCCATGGGATGGCATCTCTTAGCACTCATTCCGCTCTTGCAGGCCTGGACTGCCTGGACTGGCTGGTGCTGCCTCGGACAGGAGAAGGCAGCGTTTCCCCCCAGCAGGCTCAGGCCCGGTGCAGACCTGCCCAGTGTGAAACCCGGCTGGAGCCCAGAGCTACTGGTTGGCACAAAAGCCTCAGTCTAATTTTCCCCCGCACCAGCCTATGACTGTCATCACTCTGGGATCTCAGCTCTTGCTGTCTCTCTGACAACCCAGTCACAAGTTCAGGGAGCACACATCTGCCCTTCACCATTTGCCGTTCCAGCCGAGAGCCATGACGCGCTGCTTTGACAAGGCTCAAGTCCCAGCAGGACTGCGACCTCCCATCTGCGCTGGGGTGGAAGTCCAGAGCGACATTCAAAGAATCCAGAGGCTTTGACTTGATTACGGTAAAAGGCAGACACCCAGGCATTTTCTAAGCTAAACCCATTTAGCTGCTAAAGCAAAATAGCAACTACCCCTCCTTCCAATAAAGTGCCACAGTAAGGATCAGGGCATTTGAGGAATTTAGTCCTTCTCCTTTCATTAGTTCAGAAGCTGTAGCAATGACTAGTGGGGTTACAGAGGCAGCCCCTCAGAAGTGTCATGGGGCTTTAATGATCCCTTTGCTAGAGAAAATGGAGCAGGCAGCTCCCTGTGGGGGTGAAGCTTTTCATCTCAGACAAAGTAGCAGCACTTGCCGAAATGCATATGCAATTTTCTGCATTTTCCGAACTGTTTCCTGAACATGCCTCTGGAGAAACTGTGCACACCAACATGTATTTGATATCTACAAACCCAGGTTTTCTGAGCAGCCCAAGGATTTCCAGGCGCTTCTCCTGCCCCCCTTTTTGAACAGTTAATCCTTCAGACAGTTGGCAAAAAGAAACCAGTCCTTCAAGAAAACTCATGAAAAGTACTCTTCCTAGTGACTGAAGGTATTTTGCAGCATCTGAGAAACACTCACCTTAGCACGTGAGTCGATCCATTTATTGTGGTGGTGGAACAGGGGACCGTCTGCCCCAAGATGGAAGGCCTTCGGTATCGCTCATCACCACAGCACAGGATGATGAGGAAGGCACGTCTGAAAGACTTGTTCAGGAAGGCGTACAGGAAGGGGTTCAACCCTGAATTGATGTAGCCCAGCCACAGGAAAGCTGTCCACAGCTTCCCCGGCACGGTGTAGTTTATGAAAGGGTCCACTATGTTTGTGATAAAGAAGGGGGCCCAGCACAGGCAGAAGCATCCCATGATGATGCACAGGGTCTTGGCAGCTTTGGTCTCAGTCTTCATGCGGTGCGTGCTGTGCTGGTCCGGGTGGTGATGCCGGCCTTCTGCAGGGGTCCCCGCGCGCTGGAGCACCTGAATCTGGCGGGCGTGCTCCCTGGCGGTGATGTAGATGCGGTAGTAGGCCAGCACCATCAGGAGGAAGGGGATGTAGAAGGCCACCACTGAGCAGGTAATGGCATATGGCTTGTTGACCATGAAGATGCAGTAAGTGGAGTTGGAAGCCTTGTTGAACTGCCTTTGCTGAATCTGGGAAGGAGGGACAAGGACAAAGAACAGGAGAGGGAGATCACCACTGCTCCCCGAAAACAGCAGCCCACTTGCTGTGATGTTCCCTCCACTGCCTCTGCTTTTGTCTTAGCTGTCTCATGGTATGCCTGTCTCACCCATCCACTGCCCCTGCTGCCTGTGCTCAGCCCCACGGACTCTCCAGCCCTGCTGTTCTCTGGGGGGATTTGGGGACAACATCACAGTCCACACCATACTGCCAGAACGCTGGAGAGGGCTTCAACCTGGCTATTGAAAATTGGCCTAATAGCCCAGATCAGACAGAAAGCAAAGGACAATAACCCAGCTCCATACTGTGCTTTTTTGCTGTGCTCTCTGCTCTGTTCATCAGGACAAGGTTTTATAGCAAGGATGCGTATCAAAGACTCCTAGGAACATTAGAGAAGAGCCAGAGGAAGGGCTGGATGGATGGTGAAGGGGCCAGGCTGCAGGCCTGGGAGAGCTCCAGGCTGGGGAGGCAAAGGGGCAGCAGGCCTGGCTGAGTCTGTAGGCCATGCCGTGGTCAGAGAAAGAAGCAGCGAAAGAAGGGGGTGTTGCATGTGAGTTAGGGCAAGGCATAGGCAAGGGCATAACTGGGGGAAATAGGATTTTTCTGAGGGTATTCTTGCTACAAAACCATGTCACCACAGGTCCATCAGGTAAAATTCTTTATATAGGTAAAATTCTTGCCCAGAGCCACCACTCGCTTTGTGACAATCTTTCCAGGGCAGAGTGCTTTCAAATCCCCTTAAAGACACCTTCCAGAAATTCAGCAGCCCCTCTACATTGACAACAAGAAATTTCTCCTTTAGCACTGCTTTGCTTCTTTCCAAATCAGTCTTTGAATGTTGTTTTTCAAAAAGAATGCACAGCACAGAACATACTTTGATACTAGTTTGTCGGATCTCCTTGGTTACTCACCAGATCAATGATGCCAATGCTATTCCAGCCTTGCATTATAGGAAGGAAAGAAATAAATGTCGGGATTACCCAGCACCCTCCAAGCATTACAGCAATGCGCAATGGAGTCATCTTGTTCCTGTAAACCAGCGGCTGGCAGCAGATGGCATAGTACCTGCAAGGAGAAAGCAAGAGAATATCCATCACAAAAGGAGACTTCCAGGTCTTCTAAAAATAAAACTGTATTTTCTCCAATGGGAAAGAAGGATCTCTGTCAAAGAGATTTTTTTTTGAGTAATGTCTTGCATCAAGGCTTAATGTGCAAGCGGAGAGAGGGAAGACAGCCTCACAGCAGAATGCCTATAAACATGTGTCTTATGAGGTCCATAGGATCATAAGTTAAATTAAATTAGCAAAGCAAAGATCCACTAAAACTGAACCTGAAGGAATTTCTAAAGTGCCAGTAGCACATTAAAATAAGAGATATACAAATGCACACATAGAGTATGTATAAAATGTCTTTGAGTTGCATAGCTTATTACATGAAGACCTGGTTGGGAACTGAAAATGTTAGTCTGTATTAAAAAGGCACAAAAATCTAAGAATTTCCAAATTTTATTGAGAATTTCTTTTTAAATCATGTGGAGTCAACTGAACGGCTTTGTTTTGATAAAATAAGATTGCGTGTTCCACACAAAGAGTTGAAATAAAATCAAAATGTCAAAAGAAAGCATTTTAAAAAAACCTCTTTGAAATAAAAGTCTCAAAATGTCACAAGGGAAAAACGTTGAATTGAGCTATTTCAATTTGATCATTTCCACATTCTCCTCTGGTTTTGTGTATAGATGTATGCATGAAAATCAGCATGTTCTTCTGAAAAGTTTCACTTTCAAAGACATGGAGTATTTGACAATGACTATTCTTTTACAGAATGATCTGAAATGTTCCCTTTGTGGCATTAATGCTAACTTCCATGATAGCTAGTGAAGCCAATTCCTGTTTTCACTGACATGATCCTAACATCACTCTGACAGCCCAAGGGAGAATAAGAATCTGAATAATATACAGTAAAAGGAGGTACTTAGTTTTGGTCCCGCCTTGACTGGATCAAGACTCGAATGAGTGCCCAGTATAAATGGTCTTCCGTTCCACTGAAGCGGTGAAGATAGTCAAAACTCAACTGGGCATGACCCTGAGCAACCTCATCCAACTGGAGATGGATTTAACACTGAGTTTGGCCATGCTTTGAGCAGAGGGTTGGATCAGAGACCTCCAGAGGTTTTTCCGAAACTAAATTATTCTGAATCTGTGAGACAAGGATCATCATGAACAGATTTTAATATCTTAATGACTTCAGAGAATAGAAAAGTATTTGTCTGTTTCTATGATAACTACTTACCCCACAACAGCCACCATGTGTCTCTATAACCTTGTCTTGTCTAGAGCTTATTGAGTTTGGATTTCCCCCTGTTCTCTACATTTCTTTCTCCCAGGAAATAAGCTGACCTTTGAATTCAAACAGGTATTTTCAGTAACTGCTTATTAGGACAGATAGTGCTTCTTTTTGCAACAGCTCCTGTGACTCTAAACACTAGGGACATATTTCTAGAGTATTCATTTGTTTATTATCTGAGAGAGATCTACTGGAAGGTGCTACCCAGTGCTGGACATCACAGAATTCCTGTGAAATGCCTGATAGCAAGTTACTGCGAGTGTCAAGAGACTGCATTTATTTGTAGAAAGGGCAAAAGTAGAAATTCAGTAAACAAATGAGAGAGAAAGACCAAAACTCCAGTTACCTTTTCACAAGTTGAATCAGCAAAGGAAAAATATAATATATTGCTAATTAACTATGGCAGGAAAACAATTCTTCCAAGCAGTTTGAGTTATTACAGTTCTGTACTTCTATTTCTGCTGTAGCTGATAGCATTACACTGACTTGTATATGCTATTAAAGACCATTAGAATAAAAATTATACCTGTAAAAATGGCATCTTAAGCTCTCGCATTTCTTCCCTCCCAGTGATTCAGCAGCAATTTTCCTCCACTTACACGTCAAAAGATTTTTTTTTCTTAGCTGCTGCTACCATGCACTTCTCTCCTATTCAGAAAGCTGAGCTGGGTTCCTTCTGCCTCTACACTGTAATCCATAATAAGGTTCTGCAATCAGAACATGAGTGACAATTTTGCTGGTGGCTAGTGAGGCAGAGAAGTATGCAGTCCGCTTTTCCATAGCTCAGCAGGACTGCTACTCAATGGCCCAGAGAGACAGATAATAGAAATTTGTATATGTTAACAGAAGTCATTGAAGTCACACCAATTTTTGCAGTAGCTGATGATTTGATGTATGTGATGGTTTGGGCATTTAAGCAGCTATTTATTCACTGAGAGAAAAGTAATTATATCTCTAAGATTATCAATAGTTCTAGTCAAAGGCTGAAATAAAGACATTTTCTTATGCTCTGGTTCTGCTTTCTTTCAAGCTAAAGCTGTTTTCCTGTGCTCACAGAGAATATCTATTACATAGTGATATGACAATGTGATGGATGAATATAACATGTAATACATATACATGATTAATATATTATGAGCAAGTTTAATTAAATATTAACTCTTACTGCTATCAGCCAAGAGCCATGTTTCTGCAGTCCCCTGAAAATCTTAACTTCCCTGTTACCTGAAGCAGAATATATGATGCAAAACACATCCTCCCTTCTGCTTCTATTATGACCTTCTTAACTGGAGGGGTAATACAAGAGTCTCTTTCTGGAGCAGTAGATCTTCCAAGTTGCTCCATAAAGCAAAGGTTATTGTAGTGCTTTTCCTTACCTATGACAGACACTTTACCACATGTGAATGAATCAAGTGTTAACAGTTTATAGGCGGCCCAAAAGGACAAAGCCATAGCTCTTAGGGCCTTACTGAAGTCTGTTAAGTTCCATCGTGGATGGACTGGGCTACCAAGGATTTGTGACCTGTCAGCCATCACGTAGTGGCTCCAAGAGCCGGGGTCAAACTCTGCCTTGAGGAACATGTATGTGACTCTTCCAGGTCTTTTGGTGGAAGTTCCAGTGATACAAACTACAGGGAATGGTTAGTACCAAGTGGATTGCTTCCCAAAAATGAACCTCCTCTGATATGAACATAGCCTTAATAATTCTGAAGGGCTGTAGGTGCACCTCTGTCACACTCATGAAAGCTATAAACAAATGCTCAAGGTTCAGTGGTTCAGTGCCCCAATCTGTCGGGCAATTTCCTCCATATTCCTACATCCACTGCCCATGGGTGCTGCCAGAATCACACGGGGGAGCCTCATATACACAAAGCCCAAGTGCTGTGGCCAGTTACGATCCTTCAGCCTGGATGTCTCAGTTCCTCACTGGACCTTTGTCAGGGTGAGAGCTGCCCTTGGCATGTCCCCAGAGAGCAGTCCAGGAGTCCTGAGCTCCTGCCTCGATCAGCCATGTTTTAACCACGCTGCTGCTCTCCCCTTGCCTTTTCGGCATTACGGAAACATAATTACTCGGCTGTGTTAGATAATTCCTTGCCCTTAGAGAAAACTTAAAGTATCTCCCTGGTTCGCAATACAATTTTGTTTGAGCTAGGGGTATGTAGACACTATCCTGAGAGAAGATCCTTAGATATCACAGACACACAAATATACGCCCACCTTTATTAAACAGACTGGACCAGTGGGTGGCCTACATTTAAATCTATTTGGTGTCATGTGCATATATAATATAATACACATGCCATATGTTTTATCATCACTGGGGCCAAAATAAGCCAAGGAAAATTTACTGTATAGTCATACTGAATAATTTTTTAACCCCCTGAAAGAATCTAGAAAAAGAAGATGAGAGGGTGGGAACACTGGATTCTATTCGTTCTTTCCCAAAGTTAAGGTGCAACACACACACCTATACAGGCTGTGTGCAGGAGTCTAGAAATCCCTGAGCGTCTGCAGTGTCTGCTGAAACACACTTTGAACACAAAGGTGGGAATGCTTTACATCTGATTCCTAAGGAAGCACAGACCAATGTACTGCAATAGGAGCCAACAAAACTCAACTAAGTACCATCACAGAGGACTCTGTCCTCTTAACCAATACCTAGGAGAAGGCTAAGCCCCAGGGACCCTCTCTGTTTACGAGCTGCCTTCCTTAAGGCTGCCAGCTCAGATACTGAGGATACTGAACTGTACTGCCGGAAAACTCTTACGTGTGATAGGTACTTTTATTTTAGAAGAGAGACACTTCTTCTTTTTGCTGGACAAGTCTTACACAATAATTTGGCTAATTCAGAAAATCATCTTGCTAGTCTTTATGGAGCTCTATTTTGGTGTGCTCCACAAAAATAAATTTGAACAGCGTTTTGCACACTTGTCCTCTCCCTCAATAAAGCCCAACTGGGTCAAAGTCTTCAGCTGAACCCTGACAAAGTTTTGAAGTCTAAGGAACCAGACTCTCAGCTTATTTGTGCCTGTGCACAATCAAAACAGCACTACTGGCTTTGCTGATATTTCTGTGAAACCAGAATCTGGTCTCCAAATAACCAGACTGTTACATTCTTTGGAGAGAACAACTCTTTCTCTTTTCCTTTTCTCCACAAAGCAAGTAAGCTATGGTCTCTAACTGTGCCAAATAAACTAAGGTTATGCATTGCTGGTCAGGAATAAAAATATCTTAAAATTATTATATCTAAGAAAATTAAATTTTCATTAGAAAAACAATGACCTGCTGGTGTTGAGATAATTACACGGAGAAAAATGCTAAAGAGAACAGTTAATTGGAATCGGATAAATTTAGCTAGTAATACAAACAAGCATATGTTGCCAAACGGAGATAGAAGACTCTTTCATGGTCCCTTTGTGGGTTGGTGCGTGTAGGGGAGGGCCTATTGGCAGCAACAGTGGTAAAATAAATTACCATATTTCTAGAGGGTTTGTAAAGATTAATAAAGGACAGTGCTTCCCTCAGGTTGTGCCATGACACCATCTGCTCTGTTATTTTTCTTACGACGCTCAGACCTGAAGTCTGTAAATCCTGTGCTAGTTCTCTTGCTGAGAAGTGGCACCGAGCAGAGTGCTGACATGGACTATTCTACTGCCACATGTCATGCCTCAGCCCCCGGACAGGGTCTCGGTTTATCCTTGCTCAGCTCCCTTTCCCTGCTG